AGGTTAGTGTCTTATCGATCCTTCACCCCCTCCTCTTGATGAAAAAGTCAGATGAATGTGACATGAGCGTTCACACTGCAGTCACTTTGAAAACGTCAGATATTTATCCGATTTAAAACCACATACTGAACGGCCTGGGTCGGATTTGAAAAAAATCGGATTTGTCGCATTCAGACTGTCATAAAAAAATCGGATATGAGTCAGATGAGTCAAAAAAAAAATCGGATTTGGGTCGGATTTGCCTGCAGTGTGAACGTAGCCTATGGTATGGTAGCTGAATCTTACCTGAGACCAGCAATCCCCATGAGAGCACAGTATAGTCGCAGCAGAGCACTGGCCTTCACAACATGCTCCTCCCTGAGACCAGAGTACCCTGAACCACTTTCATCCTCCATGTCATTCACATTGGGCACGCGGGTGCTGCGTGAGCGCGGCAGGATGGCCACAAGCTCCAGCAGCAGCTGTCTTCGCATCTGCCACAGAACAGAGCTGCTTTCTCTCTTACGCTGGCAGCATCGAGGAGAAAAAGAGGGAAAGACCAGAGTTAAATGGAGAATTTCCCCTAAAGTCTCAACGTTTTGGTACGATCAAGGAACAGTTTCATGTGAAGTATTATTTCTGATGAAATGATATCTGCAGTCAAAAGAAATATTAGCAAAAAATAAAAAAATTAAAAAAATTAGACCAGCTTTTTTTATACCTCCCACTACAATTCAGATTTAAGTTTAACCTTGTCACATTCATTATGAAAGCTGAAATAAAATGATGCTAACAGCTGGTAGCTGCAGTATTGTTTTTTCTGTTTAATGAAGTTTGATGACTTAATTAGAACATTAATGCATTCATGTGATGTATACAGTATGTTTGATCTGTATGTAGGATGTCTAAACTCAATACAGTTTTTTGTTTGAAGTAATTAATATTTAGATAACACTTTCCAAAGGTTAGAACTCATCACTAAAATTAATCAAATGGATCAGGCCTGATTTGACTTTTATGACCTATTAGCTGAAAGTTGAAATTAAAATTACATTGTTGACATAAGATTAAAAAAAACTAAGTCTTTGTATTTAAATCGCWAGGAAAACAGTTTATTCTTCTTACAATGATTCTGAGACATTTAAAAACTTGTCTGAGATTATACAACACCTGAGTAGGAGAGACTAATTTAGAGCTTATTAAAGCAATTTAGGTTCCATTTCATCCCTGTTGACTGCCAGAGGGTGGTGCTGAACGCATTGAATGTTCCCCTTGCGCATGCGCTGTTCGAGTACCGGTAATTAATATCAACAAAGTCACAGCTGTGACCYATCGGGTGATTACCTTGAACCGATATAGGCCAGTAACATCCGGGGCTCTTCTCCTTTTTTCTTCTCGTGTGTGGTTCGCATTTTTGCTTGGCATTAGCCTTTGCAAAAAGTTTGGATTGCTTCACTGTCGCCGGACACCCATTAACCTGTTGGCCAGAGTTACGAGTTCGCCCTCCCGGGCTGCGACAAGTGATCTTCGTAGAGGTATGTGCTGTCTGCCGGTGAAGAACGCTGTCTCTGGTCCCGGCTTTTTTCCTACATTTACTTTCTGCAGTATTGACTGGCGAAGGTGCATTATTTTCACACCCCGTCTCAGTTTCAAAACTTTGTGGTTGGACTTGAGCCAACAATGTTAGCCTCTTTTTTGTTGCCGTTTGCTGGCGATACTAACTTGTCACTTCCTCTTCCAGCGCAGCGTTCTTCTTTCTGTGGAGTGAACTAACAGTGTTAGTCTCTTTTTGTTTGCCGTTTGCTGAGGTTTTTTTTTTTTCCCAGCAGTTTACCCTAGACTGTTTTATTCAGTCTCTGTGTTTTGGTGAAGCCACGTTACGCTGCCTCTCCTGATCTCATTCTGTCTTTTCCCATCCTGTAACTGACGGAGCCGACTGTTAMGCCACATTTGTGTTATTAAGTCTTTGCTGTGTTTTTGGATGGCTGCGTTAGCGCTCCCRCTCTCAATCTCATCCTGACTGCTTTCTGTTCCTTAGCTGAACATAGCAGCATCAACTCTGTTTAATTTTTTCTAATTCGCTGTGTTTTGGTAACAGCCGCGTGTACGCTGCTTCTCCCAATCTCAGCCTGATTTCATTCTATTCTAGCTGGACGTAGCTGTGAAAGCTCTTTTTGGTTCTTCAAACCGAATGCTGTGTTTTGGTGACGGCTGCGTTAGCATCCCCTCTCCCTATCTCAGCCGTTACTTTGTTCCATAGCTGAACTGTATCAGCTCTGTTTTTCTAGTTAGCTGTGTTTTGGTGACAGCTGCATTTCTGCCCCCTCTCCCAATTACAGCTGTTTTTTCCGTTTATAATTCAGGTCGCTGTGTCAGCCCTGTGTGATTTTCCCTACCTAAGTTATTGTTTGTTGCTATGCTTGGTGACGGCTGCGTTTGCGCCCCCTCTCCCAATCTCAGCATATTTAGTCTGCAGGGGAACACAGCATGGACAGTTCTCACAGTTGTGTGGATTGTGGGCCCACGCTTGCAGGCAGTTGATGGTCATGACCAGTGCCCTGCCTGCCTCGGAAGCGATCACCTGACAGAGACCCTGTCAGAGAACCCCTGCATGGACTGCAGTTATTTACCTCATGCAGTGAGGGTGGCTCGGTTGGCCCAATTGTGCCCGAAGAGTCCCAATGACCTTCTGCCTTCGGGGCAGGTAGCCCAACCATGTCGCTCGAAGCACCAGAGTGAAGCCACGGTTACTGCAGCGCCTCCCAAAAAGAGATGGTCTAAGTCTGATTGGGGTCTCTCTATGTGAGTTGAACAGTTGTCGGCAGAATTGGCAGAGATTAAACCACTGCTCGAGGAACGTCAGCTGGGTAGTGCGGTGGAGGGGCCTGTTTTTTCTTCCCCATATCTATGGCTGAGTTGACTGGAGAGGATGACGTATTGTCTCTGGCTGCCGCCGCCTCTTGCTTTAGGGGTGAGGAGGAGGCACAGTCCTATCACGGTTCAGAGACTGGTTCACTCTCTTCATCACAGAGTGCAGCCAGCGGATCAGGTCTCAGCCCCATGCAGGACATCATGCGTATGGCTTTGAGACAGCTACAGTTGGAGGTCCCGCTCTCGCAGGGGAAGGTATCTGCCTTTGGTAGTGCCTTTTTTAAGCACGGCCGAGCTCCTCCTCAGTTCACGGTTCCTCAGTCAGAGGATTATCTGAAGGAGTTACACAGTTGTTGGCGGGACCCAAGGGTCTTTTTACGCCTCAATTCAGATGGTCGAGTGTTGGCAACCATGCATAAACCGGCCAGCCTTGGCCGGTTTATGCATCTATCAACCAGTAAGAATTTTGGCTCTCACAGACATGTTAGTTCTTCTTTAAGAAGCCCTCCTGTTCTCCACTCATTACCTGTATTAACTGC